CTTATTGCCCAAGATATAAATTATATTGAGGGAATTTAATAAAGAACTCCCCGATGAATAATGCATGAAATTTCAGCCGGCAAAATTGCATTTTAATTTGTTTACGGCTACTCAAATCGGTTGCGCAATTTATTATGTTATATTGTTTACAAAATCAAGATTTAATCAATTTGGAGCTCTTTGTTCCCCGCAGAGAACAAATGGGTTAAAAAATGTTAAATAGGTATCTGAGAGCCCTTTTCCATGCCAGTCTATCTACCTACAATCTACATAATAATATAACGTATTTACAAAAAATAGTATTTAAGTATGTTTATATCCTTTATTTGGGACTAGAAGCGCAGTGTAAAATATCCAAGGATAAATAGTATAATCCAGTTTTGCGGAATCCAGTATAATGCAGAATACCGCAAAACTGGACAGCCGTGTGAACACACAGGTGTGTGATTAAAATTCAAATGGACATGCAAACAGGATGTTTGTGTGAACGATAATTCAAAACACGTACTACTTCTACTAAACGGGATCCTGCAAAAAACAGGTCCTCAAAACGGGATGTCTCAAAAGGGAAAAGAGCCCTTAAATTCTAAATCCAGTTTAAGTTTTTTGCATTAGAGTTAAAAAAAAGTATGTTAAATAAATCTAAGTCTAAGAAGTAGAGCATACAGTGCCAGTCATTTGTTTCTACGCTCATGCGTACGGCAAAAAGTGGAGCTCCCTTCCTGTGTCAGCTTTCCCTACTTAAGTAGGTTATACTTTCATAGGACTCTTGAAGAGACGAGTGGATTGTTCTCCAGTCCAAGTTAGACCTTATTGCGATAGAGATAGTGGTCTATTTTGAGCGTTTAGTAAAATATAAACAGGATGTCTTAAAGATAACATTTACAGCACTTTCATTTGTCATTTTATCAGATTAAGATAATAAATTGTTTTAAAAAAATAGTTACTTTCATTTTTTATTTATTTATTTATTTATTTTCACCAACTTTATTTTCATTGAGAATGTTCTATCCATTTCGAATAAATAAATAAAATAAATAAATATCTTTCGACATTTTACACTGCGCCGCAAGCCTCAAACTAAGCAAAGCTTGTACTATGGGTACCAGACAACGGATAGAAACATACTTATATGTATAATAATAAGAATAGAAGAGCGTGCACAAAGCCCCAGAACTTTTACGCCCGTATTCACAAATATTACTATGAGGTCTCACAGTACGCGTGGACGCACAAGGTAACACGAACCAATCACAAAACTCTATTCAAAGCTGTGCGTTCGATTTGCTGCTTCACTTGTGCAAACATCGTTTGTGAATACGCGCGTTAGTAACGAGCTTTCGCTAGTAAGACTTTTTGACACCATCCATTAATCCCCTTTTCACACCCGTACTAATCTAGTCGGCTTTAAAACTGATAAAAAAAAAACAAACGAATCAACCTCGATACAATCCATTTCATCCCGCGCGGTCTAAAAACACAATATGAATTCATATTTGAGAACAAATGATTCTAATGAATCCACTAGAAATGATATTATTTGACATAGAAATTCTGTTAAACTATATGAATATAAAAGAAGATTAACCTTTCCACTGAGCTTTGGTACAAATAAAATAAAAATTGTAGCTAGTCGAGGACTCACGCCCGTATTCACAAACATTACTATGAGGTCTCACGGTGCGCGTGGATGCACAGGGTGACACACGAACCAATCACAGAGCTATATTCAATGCTGTGCGTTCGATTCGCTGTTACACATAAGCAAGCATCGTTTGTGAATACGGGCATCAGAAACTGGATCAATAACACTTTTTGACACCATTGATCCTCCAAACGTGTTAGTCTATTCGCGGCTTTCAAAAATGGAATGCACTGATAAAAAAAAAACAAATCAACCACGATACAATCGCGTTACGAATCCATTTCATCCCGCGGCCTAATCTGGCGGTGTTTTGATAAAAACGCCGCGGGCGCCAGCCGCGGTGCCAAGCTGGAAGCGCTCCAGATCTGTGCGCATCTGATACGGCGAATTGGCGGCATTATTGCATATCTATATAAATAAAAATGAATTGATGTTCGTTAGTCTGATTAAAACTCGAGAACGGCTGGGCCGATTGAGCTGATTTGGGTTTTAAAATGTTTGTCGTAGTCCAGGGTAGGTCTAAACGGTGAGCAAATACGCGCATGTTAGAGACTTGAACCCTCAACAAATCAGCTTCGTAAGCAACACCCATTGCTCCACTTAGGGCATTGCTTACGATGTATTATTATTAGTATAAATACTAGTGTTTAAGTTAGTTAAGATGAATTATTTGTAATAGTCGTAAGGCTGCAAGTCGTAAATAAAGTTATTTTTTATATTAATTCTCGTCGTCATTCTTTAATTGGCGCAGCCGGTAGGATCCCAGTAGTTGGGTCGCGAGTGTTAAAGTACGAGCAACTCAACGTCGGTTTCTACAGTTTGACTGGGACCTCCGAACAAATAAATTTATTGAAGAAACTACGCCGAGAAACGACGAGCAGCTACAACGACACAAGTAATTTCGTCATGGGAAGAACTGCGGGACTGTGAGTAAAACTTTTCACTTCCTACCTATTCCTCCTCTATGAACTTAGTTAATTATATGTGTTATTAGGGATTAAAAAACGCCTGAATAACATTAGGATAAAAATCTCCGCTTAGTTAAGTAAATAATTTCATCATAATAATCAGTTATTACGTCAGTTAGTACGTTAATTATTACGTCAGTTACTACATATTACGTCATTTATTTTGTCAGTTATTATATTTAATTTATTAATTATCGTTAATTCTATACATTTTTTTTTCATTTTGTGTGTTTTTCATAATATTCTAAAATGGAAAATATCACTCGTGTCCCGGCTGATATGCTCCAAATGATCCCCCTATTCGAGGGAGACGCAAGACAATTACCATTATTTATAAAAAAATGCGAGTACATATTAAATACATGCAAAGGATCAGGGGAACAAAATACATATCTATTTCATGTAGTAACGAGTAGATTAGTGGGACCAGCCGCAACTCTGGTTGGAGAAAGGGATAACATCGAGACGTGGGAAGATCTCAAAACCCTATTAGACCAACATTTTGGGGACCCACGTACCGAAGAGTGTCTCTTACTAGAGCTGGAAGCACTTAAGATTCAAAGGGGCGAAAGTTATAAAAATTTCTGCCTTCGAATTCAAGACCTGAGGAGCATATTAATAGCAAAAGTTAGTGCCACAACACACGATCGACATATGATCACAGCGAAGCAACAAATTTACACACACACTTCGCTAAACGTGTTTTTATACAATCTACCCCAATATTTAGTTCGTTTGGTTCGCCTTCGAAATGGGTCAACACTAGAGGAAGCCTTAAAAATCGTTCTGGAAGAAAACAACTTCCAGGCAGTTTACGATTATAAAAATAGAAATCGGGACTTTAGGAATACTAGATACAATAACGCTGAACAACAATTTAACTATCAACGTCAGCATAATTTCCAAACATCAAATGTACAACNAGTTATTACGTTAATTATTACGTCAGTTACTACATATTACGTCATTTATTTTGTCAGTTATTATATTTAATTTATTAATTATCGTTAATTCTATACATTTTTTTTTCATTTTGTGTGTTTTTCATAATATTCTAAAATGGAAAATATCACTCGTGTCCCGGCTGATATGCTCCAAATGATCCCCCTATTCGAGGGAGACGCAAGACAATTACCATTATTTATAAAAAAATGCGAGTACATATTAAATACATGCAAAGGATCAGGGGAACAAAATACATATCTATTTCATGTAGTAACGAGTAGATTAGTGGGACCAGCCGCAACTCTGGTTGGAGAAAGGGATAACATCGAGACGTGGGAAGATCTCAAAACCCTATTAGACCAACATTTTGGGGACCCACGTACCGAAGAGTGTCTCTTACTAGAGCTGGAAGCACTTAAGATTCAAAGGGGCGAAAGTTATAAAAATTTCTGCCTTCGAATTCAAGACCTGAGGAGCATATTAATAGCAAAAGTTAGTGCCACAACACACGATCGACATATGATCACAGCGAAGCAACAAATTTACACACACACTTCGCTAAACGTGTTTTTATACAATCTACCCCAATATTTAGTTCGTTTGGTTCGCCTTCGAAATGGGTCAACACTAGAGGAAGCCTTAAAAATCGTTCTGGAAGAAAACAACTTCCAGGCAGTTTACGATTATAAAAATAGAAATCGGGACTTTAGGAATACTAGATACAATAACGCTGAACAACAATTTAACTATCAACGTCAGCATAATTTCCAAACATCAAATGTACAACAGAACTTCAATAATAGACCCCATAATACCAACTTCAATAATAGACCTCAAAATAGCAACTTCAATTTTAGACAAGCTAATCTACAACACGATCACTACAATAGTCAACATAATACGCAGGGTGAAAATTTTGACAGACCTCAGAACAATAATAATTTCAGACCTCATAATAATTATAACAATTTCTCACCAAATAGCTCTATGCAGTCGCGTAATACATTCAGGTCAAATAACTCACGTCAGAGTCAGTGGCAACAACCGACCTACAATCGACAACCGCAACATCAGCATTTTGCGGACAATGCCCCGCGCAACACGAGTAGTCAATCATATGTTGGGTCAGGTAGCAACACTGACGTAACAATGAGAACTACAAGCTCAAGACGTATCAATTACACAAATGAAAGTGATATGAATATAAACAATGACGAACCTCTTCCAGGAACGTCTGGAGAGCCAGACAGCGTTGAAAATTTTTGCATACTGGCCTCTACAATACAGAAAGAATCATAATTAATTGTAATAAACAACTCAGCCTTCCGCACATATATGTACCAGAAATAAAGTCAGTTTTTATGATAGATACAGGCAGTACTCGTTCGTTTATAAGCCCACAAAAGGCAAACGAATACTTTAAAAACTACAAACAACTCGAACAATTCGAAGTTGTGAGTACACATGCCTCTAGCCTACATAACGAGGTAATAAATATTGTTTTACCGAGCACTTTTAACAGTGAATTAACGCACAAGTTTTACGTATATAGTGTAGACGATAGGTATGACGGATTGATAGGTAGCGACTTACTTAAACAGCTTGACGCAAACATTGATATGAAATCACAGACACTCTTTACCAGGGACACAAGTATTCCCATCATATATACGTCACCAACTAGATTTTCATACGAATTACCACCGCGTAGCGAGTTAAGGGTCAAACTTCCAGTTAATTTATTAAATGGATACGGCATTTTAGAACAGAAAACTTTTACTGAAGGAGTTAGGATGCCCGCGGCATTAGTTACATGTGAACAAGGTTTTGCTACCACTGTAATCCAGAACTGCAAAACAGAACACATGACCCTTAAAGTCAATGCACCATTTAGAGTAGAACCATATAATAATACAGAAAACCAATGTCAGCTCAATTTTAACGCGGAAAATAACAATAATATAGACAGCCTATTAACAAAAAACCTGTCTAAATTAAAATTAGAACACATGAACAAAGAAGAAAAAGAGGTCATAGGTAATATCTGTAAGGAATATAAAGATATTTTTTATTGTGAGGATATCCCCCTGTCATTTACTAACCAAGTAAAACATGAAATCAGGACATTAAACGAAGATCCCATATTTATTAGGGCTCATAGGTTGCCACCGTCCCAAACGGCGGAAATTAAAAACCAAGTTGAAAAGATGCTTAAGGATAACGTGATACAAGAATCACACTCCCCCTGGATACATAACGAGGTAATAAATATTGTTTTACCGAGCACTTTTAACAGTGAATTAACGCACAAGTTTTACGTATATAGTGTAGACGATAGGTATGACGGATTGATAGGTAGCGACTTACTTAAACAGCTTGACGCAAACATTGATATGAAATCACAGACACTCTTTACCAGGGACACAAGTATTCCCATCATATATACGTCACCAACTAGATTTTCATACGAATTACCACCGCGTAGCGAGTTAAGGGTCAAACTTCCAGTTAATTTATTAAATGGATACGGCATTTTAGAACAGAAAACTTTTACTGAAGGAGTTAGGATGCCCGCGGCATTAGTTACATGTGAACAAGGTTTTGCTACCACTGTAATCCAGAACTGCAAAACAGAACACATGACCCTTAAAGTCAATGCACCATTTAGAGTAGAACCATATAATAATACAGAAAACCAATGTCAGCTCAATTTTAACGCGGAAAATAACAATAATATAGACAGCCTATTAACAAAAAACCTGTCTAAATTAAAATTAGAACACATGAACAAAGAAGAAAAAGAGGTCATAGGTAATATCTGTAAGGAATATAAAGATATTTTTTATTGTGAGGATATCCCCCTGTCATTTACTAACCAAGTAAAACATGAAATCAGGACATTAAACGAAGATCCCATATTTATTAGGGCTCATAGGTTGCCACCGTCCCAAACGGCGGAAATTAAAAACCAAGTTGAAAAGATGCTTAAGGATAACGTGATACAAGAATCACACTCCCCCTGGAGTGCCCCGGTTCACCTGGTACCAAAAAAAATGGATGCCTCCGGGAAACAAAAGTGGAGAATGGTCGTCGACTACCGACGACTAAACGAAATAACGGTAGACGATAAATACCCCCTTCCAAATATTAGTGATCTATTCGACAGTTTAGGCAAGAGTATGTACTTCACGACCCTGGACCTTGCCAGTGGCTACCATCAGCTCGAGGTCAAGCCAGAGGATAGAGCAAAAACTGCCTTCAGCACTCCGTTCGGACATTACGAATTCAACAGAATGCCGTTCGGTCTGAAAACAGCACCTGCCACCTTCCAAAGAGCAATGGATAATGTCCTTAGGGGCCTCCAAGGTATACACTGCCTAATTTATCTTGATGACGTCATCATTTTCTCAAAAAGCCTTACTGAACACGTCCAGAAACTACGTGCGGTATTTGATAGATTCAGACAGACTAATTTAAAAGTACAACTCGATAAGTCACAATTCTTAAGGAAAGAAGTATTGTACCTAGGACACACGATTACTAGGGATGGTTTAAAACCTAATAACGACAAAATAGACTCCATTCTGAACTACCCTATTCCCAAGACTACAACTGAAATTAAAAGTTTTCTAGGACTTATAGGATATTATCGGAAATTTATCAAGGATTTCGCCAAAATAACAAGACCATTAACTGTATGCTTAAAGAAAGGCCGTAAAATCGAGTTAAACGATGAATACAAAAATAGCTTCGAAACTTGTAAAAAATTATTAACCAATGCACCCCTTTTACAGTTCCCTGACTTTAAAAAACCTTTCATACTTACTACAGACGCGTCAAATTACGCAATAGGAGCTGTTTTATCGCAGGGACCATTAGGATCAGATAAACCTATAGCATATTTTAGCAAAACATTAGGCGATACACAAGCTAAATACAGTACCATTGAAAAAGAACTTCTAGCAATTATAGAAGGAGTAAAGCACTTTAGGCCGTATTTATATGGCAACAAATTCACTATATATACAGATCACAGACCGTTAGCATGGCTATACTCTCTAAAAGAACCAAATAGCAAGTTAACACGCTGGAGATTACGGTTAGAAGAGTATGACTTTGAGATAAAATATAAGAAAGGGCCTCAGAATACAAACGCTGACGCTTTATCAAGGATTAGGTTAAACGCTATAGATGACGACATAGAATCCATGCTAGTTAACGTAGACGCGGATAACGAAAGATTACAGGATGTAGTAAAAGAATTAGAAGAAGATTTAGCCAAGTATAGCAATAGGGAATCAGTTCAGGAAATCATGGAAATCTCGGACTCTGACGATGGAGCAACAGCCCATTCAATATCAAACCGGGAACATGAAGGAATACCCATACTTAAGGAAGCCATTGACACAAAACCAAAACAAATAATAGTGTACAAATGGTTCATGGATAAACTATCAGTCAAAGATATTTCTAATAAAAAACAGAGGATCCTAGAAGTCCATTTACCACTTAACAAGGAAAATCTCGTAAAGGATTTTTTCAAGGAATATGTAGACTTTAAACACAAATATTTCATTTACTACGAAGACACAACTTTTAGACCCATATTTACAAATGTAGTTACTCAACTATACAAAAAGGGTATGGTTAATTTAGTAGAATGTACAGAACGAATAATAAACCTAACAAGTTCTGAAAATGATCAAATTGACATAATTCGCAAATATCATGAGGGTAAAACATGCCATCGAGGTATAAACGAAACATACACTCGACTTAGGAGAAATTATTGGTGGAACAACATGAAAGAAACTATAACCGCCATTATTAACGGATGTGAACAATGTAAAAAAATGAAATATGAAAGAAAACCGATTAAACCTCCTATACAATTAACACAAACACAGGACGCACCATTCCAAGAAGTTTTTATAGACTTACTATTTATTGAGAGTAAATATTATTTAACAATAGTCGACGCTTTTAGTAAATTAGCACAGGCAATTCATATTCCAAACAGGAGCACACCAGAGGTAGTTAGAGCACTAATTAAATACTTTAGTATGTATGGCATACCCCAAAAAATCAATAGCGACCCGGGAACAGAATTTAACAATGAACTTCTAAAAGAATTACTTAAATTTTATAAAATAGAATTACACATAGGCACCCCAAACAACCCGACTTCAATGGCAGTAGTCGAAAGATTCCATTCGACTATTATAGAAATCTATCGTCTAGCAAAATACGAAAGAAGCGATCAGGACGCGTGTTCAGTTATGACATACGCCATAATGGCCTATAACAACACAATACATAGAGCCACAAACTTTACTCCCTTCGAAATAGTATTTGGTCACACTGAGTCAGGCAATATGTTCGACACTGATAAAGAATTGAATTTGTTACAAAAATTAATACAGGATCATAGGAAACGTTTAAAAATTTTATATGAATTTGTGAAAGAAAAACTTGAGACGGATAAAATACAGGTTAGAGATAAGAAAGGAGGCGAAGAGCCACCAAAAATTGAAGTAGGAGATAAAATCTTTATGAAAAATACTAGGACTAGGAAAGCTAAGGATTTACCACGATTTGAAACAGCGGAAGTAATAGGCGAATGTAGTAGAAACATACTACCTGTACAGATAAAAAATAGAAATAGTAAAGTAGCAATTAAGAATATTAAACGCCCTTCACAGGTTGTTCGTGATGGCGCTAGCACTAGCAAAACAGACACACGGTCTGAAAATACAAAAGCTAGACCCGAATCCAGGAATAGCTCCGATTCGGATTGGGACAGCGATGAAGAAGATTGATCACTGGAGTATTTTTAAGACCCTAGATTTAGATTTGATAGAAAAACAAGTAGATAATAATATTGGGGAATATTATAGAATAAAATCATCAGCGTTTAAAGAAACTGAAATTCGCAGAGAATTATTCGGATTATCAGTTCAAGTAGAATCTATAATTAGTTTAACAAAAGCTAGGTTAGCTCAAATCTTGCCAACATACAGAGTAAAGCGTGGTTTATTAAACCCGTTAGGCTCAATAATTAAGGTTATTTCAGGTAATCTTGATAACGAAGATGCTATTAAATATGACCAAGAAATAAATAAATTAAAAAATAAAGAACACTGTTTGGAAAAAAAAATTACAGTAATGAAGATCGCTGTCGAAAAATTAGTCAATGTCTCAAATGACATTAATCTTAACGTACAACACGTTAACTTCTACAATAACCGTCTAGGAATGATAGTAAATAATCAAACTACTCTTCACAGCTCATTCAGATTAATGAATAGTATGTATCAAATTTTTAATAACTTTCGAACCTTATACCAAGTTATATATGAAATAGAAACAGCTATTGCCTTTAGCAAATTACATACTTTGCATCAATTTATTATTAACTCAACCGAATTATTAATTACTTTTACAGAAATAGAAAAACACGCAAACCTATTGTATAAAGTTAACGAATATAACTTAGTCAACTTAGAACAAAATATGTTAATGAAATCATACCTAATTGATAAGAAGTTAGTTTTTATATTAGAAATACCTATTGTAGAAAATAACACATATAATTATTACAAAGTTATGCCCATCCCTATCCATAATCCCACTACCAACAAAACCCATGCCATAATTCCACAATACCCTTACCTAATAGTGAAAAAGTTAAAATACATTCCCGTAGCACACCCCTGTGAGGAGATAAACAGAGACAGATATCTCTGCACCAGTGATGACATCGTCCAGTACCAGAATGAACTCTGCATTGAACAACTGATGCTCCTGAAAAACAACTACAGTGCTTGCCTACAACGAGAAGTCAAGATCGAAAAAACGAGAATCCAGCCCATCACCGACAGCCAATGGATACTGTTTTTCAAGACCAACACAATACTTACCGAACGATGCCAAGACGAAACCCGGAAGCACACACTGCACGGCACTTTTATCTTACTACGAGACCAAAGCTGCGAGATACAGATAGACGGATCGACGCTATCACCACTAACAAACGCTTCAGCCATGGAAACCCACGTACCGCCAATCCAACTACCAGAATTGGACCAGAATCGACCCCAGTGGACACCGGTCGACCTACGTAATGTGGACCTCAGAGACATAAGTTCAGTGCTTAGTGATATAGAAACGGACTACATGTACAGTGAGGACAATTTCAGTGTAACAACAAAAATTAGTGTATGGACAATAAGCATCTACATCATAGTTATCTTAGTTATTATTATGTTATCATGGTTATTTTTAAAAAGGAATTTTCATAAGACAACTGTGTTGCCCTTAGAAAATTCCTCATTAGGGGAGGGAGGTGTTAGAGACTTGAACCCTCAACAAATCAGCTTCGTAAGCAACACCCATTGCTCCACTTAGGGCATTGCTTACGATGTATTATCCCAACTAATATTATAAATGCGAAAGTAACTCTGTCTGTCTGTCTGTCTGTCTGTCTGTCTGTCTGTCTGTCTGTCTGTTACGCTTTCCCGCTTAAACCTCGCAACCGATTTTGATGAAATTTGGCATAGAGATAGTTTGAGTCCCGGGAAAGAACATAGGATAGTTTTTATCCCGGTTTTTGAAACAGGGACGCGCGCGATAAAGTTTTTCTGTGACAGACAAAATTCCACGCGGGCGAAGCCGCGGGCGGAAAGCTAGTTATTAGTATAAATACTAGTGTTTAAGTTAGTTAAGATGAATTATTTGTAATAGTCGTAAGGCTGCAAGTCGTAAATAAAGTTATTTTTTATATTAATTCTCGTCGTCATTCTTTAATTCGCGCGATAAAGTTTTTCTGTGACAGACAAAATTCCACGCGGGCGAAGCCGCGGGCGGAAAGATAGTATACTATATTATTTATACTATATACTTCACATCAGCCGGGATATCTTTTTAAATACTGGTGTGATTTAGATGAATTTGGTATCAATTTAAAGATAAAAGTTTAATCTTTAAAATGGTGCCACTTTTTTTGTTTCTAACAAATTCGTTAGTACACAAGATCGCGTGGAAACAACTTCATGTAAGTGATTCCATACTTTTGCTCGCGAGTGTAGTACCTACCTACTAAATTAGAATTTACCTCCTATATACGAAATACAATAACACGGATGTCATAAATATAGTTGCCATAGTATTTATATTAATATTCATCGTTATAAATAAATTTATCTACCTAGGTAATTGCCTAAATATTATGGTTTATCCTGAAATATGTCACTAACTGACATACCTACTAGTAAAATGATATAACACCATGATGCCATTTTAGATGCGGTCATAGCCTTTTTTGAATCTATTAAAGAATGCCAACATCGAAAACTAAATAGTATATGACAATGTATAAATTAAGCTCATAGTACCTAGATAGAAGAAAGATATTAATGAAATACACTTTTTAACAGACGTAACCTTCAGAAGAAAAACAATTGAAGCCTACAAAAGTAAGAGCATACTCCAAGCAGATTAAATAAATCCCCCGAGACACGAGACCTTCTGAATTAATAAATAAAAGGATCACTTTCGGAGCTTTATTCGTGCTCGCACGGGCATGTAAATCGTGTATTCGTGTAATATTATACGCACGCATCACATGTTCGAGATTAATTAACTCCACACGTGGAGTGAAATGTGTGCGGTCGGATTTGATTGTCACGTGTTTTGAAGGGAGGGGACCATGCAGTGATGTTCGTTGGATCCTCTCCCTCCGGAATTGAACGATTATTATCCAGATTTTTTGTCAGGAGGTTCACAAATGGTTTTATCCATCCATCAGTAGTTTCTTTGAGTTCTCTATAAAAACTAAGTTATTCTTTTAGTAAAAAATGTCACTTCCTGTGACAAACCATAATTCACTAGGGCAAAAGGTCTTTAGAATCGTCATGATTCTCCTGCTGCTCGGAAAATGAGCTCAGCATTCAGGTTTTTGACGTAGTTTGTCCCTTTGACAATATAAAAGCTCTACCCAAATGCATACTAGATTTTCATGAATCGAAATCATAAGAATCCTGCCTCCTTCAAATTGTTGAATTTATAATAGGTATAATCCTCAGTTTGCCTTAATTAGAACACTACAGTGAAACTAATTCCCGTCCTTAATCCTTTATTCCCGCAATCCCAGTGGCCATTAGAGATGTCCCAGTGCACTAAAGTACGGCAACTGCAATGCAGGCGCTCTCACTGGGAATTATTCAGAGGACTGCACACCTCCTGCAATTGCAGCGCTCATTAAAGCTCTGATTACAGAGCTTTAAAGCTCCATTGTTTTTGCCGAAGCTTTAAAATCCCTAGCGGTAATGACTACAATCCTCTTTAGTAAAGACTCGAGAGAATAGGTCTTTACTAAGAAAGCGTGCTCCATCTTCGATCTCATCATCACTCATTAGGTGCGATTGAGGTCAAACGTAGACTCAGTTTCAAATAAATAAAAAGTAAGTTGTTACTTAGTATATCTTCGAGCTTGCCTTCGTCTTGACTTTGTCAGTAACTGATTGAAAAAAGCATGTTAACCCTTCTCATGTCATGTCAGTCGTTATGACGTCTGACTTGTAACAAAGTTGATGAAGATAAAAAAAATGGTTGATTTGATACTACTTACTTGGGTAAAAATTCTACCAATGACACTAGCCAATAGGTCAACAAAACGGTATCAAGATTTGAAGCAACCCTGAACAATACAGATTATGACGAATTAGCGCATCAACCGCAGACCGTGACGCGTGTCGCCACAAATGGATCGGAAATATTAAGCCTAATGACATTGGCTCTCGTCGTGACACGTTAAAAATATTATCGCCTAATAACTAACGTAGACTTAAGTAAGAGTACCAATAAGCAAACTCCGAGACTTAATCCGCGATTTACTTGAAGTGAAAGGCAACAAAGTTGATGGACTTCAACAAAATTTGGGAATTGAATGGGAATCATGTTGAAGGGTGAGAAAGGAAATTATAACAGCTGCTATTTAGCAACAAATACACATGTGATAAAACATTATGTGCCACTTTACTATTTGTCCCCATTTTGATACTCCACGGCCCACGCCATATGCCAGCGCTGACCTAAATGTTGTCCCAAAACACCAGACATAATAATTGAGAAGGGTACATCATACATCTAGGTACGAGTATACAAACATAGCTTATACACTTAACCCTTTTCATGTCTACGTCAAATTAGGACGTGCCACAGGAACGCACATAAGTGACGTCATTACGGCATAGTTGTCGTCACGGGACCGAATGTCGGTCACACGTCACCGTGACCCGGGAACGCTAATGGCCGACCTTCCTCGTTTTTCATTGAAATATATCTAGGCAATATGCCAGACGCAAAATATACTGGCTGAGACTGGAGAAACATACGAGTACTTTTGTGAATTTTTTCTCCTTTTTATTTTACTTGAGGGACTTAAAGTCTGCCCACTAATATGCCATAATCATCCAGGTAGAGCCATCCTATTAACACTTTATTACAGATAATGCTCGCAAATATTAACGACAACAGTCGCTTCTCAGGGTGTCAGAATATTAAGGCAGAGATTATTAATGTTCATGACCTGTAACAAAGACAAGCCATAATCAACGCACCTTTGACCCTCAAAGGTAGATTAATAATACTTTTACCTACTCATCCGTGTAGTTGTGAAACCCATCAATTCGGCGGTTCGGCGCGACCACGCAAAAGGGACCCGCCCACGGAGCGTGACGGCAGTGAAATCGCTCCACTAGGGCGAAGCAACGCGGTCAGGTATAGGTACTCCATCATGTAAATGACCCCACGGAGTGACATTATACCCGGCAGATATCGCGTGGAATTTGCCAATTACGTCGCCTTTTAGGCACGACAGCACATGATGCTAGCATCTTCTGTAGTTATTTATTCTATTTATCTTCACATAACGCAGATTTTTAAAATCATTTCTTGTTTTTGACAAAAAAGATAATCTTATTAACCGTTAGGAAGAGGCTAATGGATAACGTCTGCTCTAGCGGTTAACTATAAGTTCTATTATTGTGGCTTCAAAATCCGCAATGGCCATATTTTTGTGATAGTGCAAAGTTTTCTTTGTCTAGCTCGAACCCAGAATATTGTAGTAAGACGCATTTTTATCATTCATTCCCATTAAATGTTCTCGTTAACCCCAACACGGTTATTTTCAGTTACGGAAGTAAATCTATGAGTTAAGTTAGTAAATAATTTATTCAAAAATGTCGGTCAGACTCCGCCTCCTCACACGGCGACCCGGTGAACTGTCATGGAAGCTAATTTGCCACTGACCTGAGGATAATGCTTCGACACGGTTCCGAAAAATAGCATGTTTTGGGAACAAAATTATTGCAGATGTACTGCCTACTGAGTACGTCCACTAATATGGTGCTTTGATTAAATTACACAGATTTGTTTACTGCGGAAGGAAAATGTGGCCCAACTCAAATACATTTAAAAACTAATTTCATCTCTTTAAGTACTCGTATTAGCTTTTAACCTGCTGAAATTGATCATGATCAGAGTTACTCCATCCACTGGTCGTCGTGGAAAGCTTTGAGGTAGGCCTTTGTCTAGCAGTGGACGTCATTTGACTCATTTGACTTCGTTCGTTTCGAACGAAACCTCCATTTAACCTGTCTGTTAATCGGTGACGGCAATAAATAGTGAAGCCTGTTTTATAATTGCGACACCTACGATCAAAATTTCCAGCGGATATACCTACTTGAAAATATGAAATCCTCTTTCTTTTTCTTTTTTATGCAATACATCCAAATTAAAAGTTTTTCATATTTCTTAGTCAGTAACATATATTTAAATGGGTATTTTATTACATCACAAGTTCTACTGGCCAGACGAGGATAGACCTCAATTCATTGTCCGGGCACGGCTATAAGGGCCAGAGGGCGTTCAACTCGGATTCAATTAAAGTTGAACGCCCCAATTATCTGATTACGCCTACTCTCCTTACGGTTCACTTCCATCAGCTACCGAACTAAGTAGATTAATATAACTAAGTAATCTATAAACTCAAAATGTCGATGACACTTCGCGTTCCGAGAAAATGTTGGGCTATAAATTCCAATTTCATATTCCTAGAACGTATTTACGGCATCTGAATGCTCTTAAATTGACATTTGCGTATATCTTATAGTAGCTATAAAGTACCGTATTTGCGCTGCCCTTCATTGGAATTTCATAATACGTTTCGGATATTTCTTAAAAGTAGTTGACAATAAATCTATTTTTAGAATGAATATTTAGTAAATAATTAACCTGGAGTTCAAAGCATAATCACTCTACTCGATAGAAAACCAATACAATTTCAAAACGGAATATTTTTTATTCTGTAATTTACATTGAAGTGTAAAAAGGAAATAAATAAAATACGATCGGCTTTGATTTTTAGGAAAAAAAACTAATGAAATTGAGTTCAGGATGATGATGGTGAAATAATGTTCAGGTTTTTGCTTATTTACACTACAGCTTCTACTTTACCATAGAACTGATTTCTAGCTGACACTGGCTGAGTTTATTTATTGACAGTAAATCCACACAGGACTTGCAGCAGTGGGAACAAGAGGGTTGCATTTATCTATTTGATAACACTCTGCTATGAACGAAATTCTAATAATAACAAACTCACCTGTCATGTTGTATAAGCGCTATAGAGCTGGCCACGAGATCTTCAAACTGCTTCTCGCTCGCCGAACTGCCCTGCCTCTTATGATGATGAGGAGTGTTCGCTGCCGACGACACCGGCGTCAGAGACTTCTGGGTCTCCGCACTGAGGGTCTTAGGAGGCAGGTTCTGCGAGGACTTGCTACCGAAGAGCCGCCATGTCACCGTGGGGGTAGACTGGGTGGGCGAGTCTTGGGTCTTCGAGTTACTCTTCCATGGGAACACGCCTCTGTAACAATCGAAAGGTTCGGTGAGAAATTTAAAATGAAAGTAGAAGTCCTAAGCCAGCTTAAGTTCTACAGATGGCCATGGGGATTGGTTTTTATACTGTAGATCAGTCTTTATTTCTAACTCCGACGAAGAGCTACAGACAAAACGAGAGCATTAAGGAGAACATCATAGGATCACAAGATCTTGGATATAGCGTATAAGTCTACATAAGTGTGTTTTTAAGAACTTAATCATGTTCAAATTAACACTTTGTGTATATTTCGAGTGAAATAAACGTATACCCTTCCGCATTGCAATGAACTAGGTTTTATACAGCTCGTTAACTTTAAAATAGAACTTTAACGACCGAGATGAACACAAAAGGTGCCATGAAATTCAAGCCCAACGATTTCCCTTCCCACAAAAGGCTGTTCCACAAAAGCGAGGCAAGAAACTCATTACTGACTAATTGTGAAAACAAGTGTTAATACAGTGCCATAGACGAACAACTGGTGCGGATCGTTGTGGCAACAGACGAATGGATTAGAAACCTAGTGGCACACTTGGGCCCGTAATCGCATGCGATAAGCACACATTGTCGAGCGAGTTGAAAAATCAACGCGATCGATGCGTTTGGTTAAGTTTAGAGATTCGTTCGTTTGTTTCAGCCAAATGACGTCCACTGCTGGACAAAGGCCTCCCCCAAGGATTTCCATAACGACCAGTCCTACGATGCCCGCATCAAAATCAAAAAATCAAAATCAAAAATATTTATTCAGTTTAGACCACAAGTGGCACTTATGAACGTCAATAGAAAATAATAAAAAAAAAAGGTAGCCCTTATGGGGCACTTTACATGTCTCCTTATCTTTTGGGCCCTACCAGCGCTTCGAGACAAACATATGGCAAGTGCTGAGAAGAAACGCCGGAACAAACTCAGTCACCACTTATTGCCAGGAATTATCTAACAGTAAGAATAGTTAAATTTAAGTACATCAAATATGTGCAGACTGAACTGACCACGCATCCTTGTCATCAATATAGTCACGAACCTTGTAGTACCCTTTGGACATAAGGGTATTTTTTATATGTATCTCAAATTTGTTTATTGGCAATTCGACAAGGTTGTGTGGTATTTTGATAAATATGGTAATACATTTCCCCAAGAATGAATTACCTATCCTATGCAACCTAAATGATGGAACAGCAAGTTTATTTTTATGTCTCGTGTTAAATGAGTGGACGTCACTTTTCTTAGTAAATAAATGTATATGTTTACGGACATACATAATGTTATCAAATATGTATTGCGAAGCCACAGTCAATATATTGATTTCTTTAAAAACTTCTCTAAGCGAGTCACGTGGTTTAAGACCGTATATTGCCCGAACAGCTCTTTTCTGTAAAATGAAAATTGATTCTATGTCTGCTGCTGAGCCCCACAGTAAAAGACCATAAGACATAATAATATGAAAATCATCCAGGCTCTTCCCGCGACCTTAACCAGATCGTCGGTCCACCTAGTGGGAAGGCCTGCCCACGCTACATCTTCCGGCCCGTGGTCGCCACTCGAGAACTTTTCTGCCCGAAGGGTATAGTCTCTACAAGCTATGTGTACTTATTAATCTGTTGTGCCGTCGTGGCTGGTAGAGATGCAGATGGTAGGATGCTGGTTGTGCCGTCGTGGCTGGCAGTGTTGATAGAATGCTGGCAGACAATAATCAACCTAATTTGTATAAATAATATCTAAAAGAATGAGAGTTTTAGCAACGCAATAACATGAGATAAACGTTCTCAAATTAAACTTAAAATTCTTTTAAACTTTGAAGGTATGATAATGAATTTATTAATAAGGTATCTGTGGTTTTCCATATATTAACAAATTGAGGAAAATATACGGATGTGTTGATACCTAAACGACAGACCATCATGTAAATAAGGATATCGACGAAATATTATTATAATAGTCAATATGAATCTGATTACAAGACGAAAACAAAATCATACCTCTCGCGCATTTCTTGCTGCCATAGCTAGCACATCAGACTGTTATTGCAAAATCACACTTAATACAACTACATAAGACACCAAGTATTTATCTTGATGATCCGTCAACATATCTTTAAAAACATATTCCAAATACAAAGGTCCAGAGATCGTCGCACGCGCAGACGCCGCGCGCCGCGTCGACCGGAATGTCATTGTGTGATAATAGCGAAGCCAGTGTGGGTGTAGGACTAGTGATAAATTCATACAACGGCAATTTGAGATTTTTTTGTTGCTCTATGAATGTGGTAGCTGCTATTGTAGTGATTATTTGATTGACATTAAGTATCGATTAAATAGATGGATCTGTGTTCATCTTAAAGACGCTTTATCTTTTTATGACAAATGACTGTCGAATAACTAAACTAATATTTAGCTCTAGCTTTAGGACATTTCTAATACGGACGGATTGTATTAGCTTTTATGAAGACCCTTATAAAAATCCCTCTGGATTCCAGATACTGTCCAGTTTCAAAGATTGTAAAGTTTTGAACATATATAAATGTAATTTCGGGGCCTTTTTAAGACGAGGGTGAACAGGCATTTACAGGGCAGATATGTATCATCCTAATCTGCATCCCACTGAACATCAGGCGCGATTGTGGTCAAATAATTACCTTGTTATACATAAAAAAAATGTTATTACCTACTATCTTATTTTATTTTTAACGTAGATATCTTTATATCCCGTAATCGGGGGCAAAGTTAAATCTTTCCACAAGAGCATAAATTCCGACTCTATCATGCAGGCCTGAATCGTAAAAAACTAATCAACAACATCGTAGTGAACGATACAAACTAGTTGATGGTGTTATGTTATTTATACGTCTACAACATCACATCAAGTACAAAAATAGCACCTTATTTAGTTGTGAATAAGTGCTATTTTACTAGATAAATGTATAGTCCGATATGCACTGTACGTCGCTGGAACACGTTCCGGGGAAAACCAGAACCGGTCCGGTTCGGAATCACGATTTATTTACAAACACGACCACTTGCACCGCGATGCGATGACACGGGCTCGGTCAATACAAAATGGTTGTGTTAGTGAAACTGATGGTGGATCAAATCAAATAGTTTATTCAAAACATAGGCTCTTTCCAGGCGCTTATACACGTCCCAAATATAGCTTGCCCTACCACCACTTTGGGACAATATTATGGGCTGGTGCTGAGAAGAAATGTCGGAAGAAACTCAGTCACCTTTGTCGATTATTCTAAACGTAAGGGGCCGTCCATAAATTACGTCATCGATTTTTTCAGATTTTAGACCCCCCCCCTACAATCATCCACCCCCCCCCCCCTATCTATCATTTACCGTCATCCGCAGACCAACCCCCCCCCCCCTAATTTAGAATGACGTAATATATGGACGGCCCCTAACAATAAATTACTACTTAAGGTGTTTCAAGTAGGCCCATCACAAGTTTCGTGACCCAGATCTCTTCTTTTATAAAAAAATACCTAGTAAGATTTTAAGATTTTATAACTAAGAGATTCACAGACGTAAAATATGGTAGAGATTCAAAAACCTAAGCACGTCGAGTAGGTACAGATTAAGCAAACAGCATTGTGGTACCTAAAATAAATTGAAATGAGGAATAAGGAATTATGTTAATCTGTAGTAAGTTTTTTGAACCAGGATATACTCGTATAAAATTAAATACTTAAACAGCGACAATAAACTTTGTATCCGACTTCCTTCTGGAGATAATATGGAAAAAACGTGACAATATATTTTGTTCGCGTTATCAATGACTAATTGAAGGATTCTCTATAACTCTATGTCATCACTTCCCAGCACAAGGGATAACTCTACCAAAATGCCTATAAGTTAAACATAACTGTGGAATAAAACCGAATACCTACGCAGAACAATAAACCGCAAATAGAATAATTTATTTATAATGCCAAATCGTGACTGACAAACCACATAAGTTATTAATATTCACTTCGTAATCGAATCGCATTGCTTGTTCTGTTTCGTACTCGAAGGAAATGAAACCATTAATAATTCACAAAAAACCGGACCGATAAAATATTCAAGACATGTATCAAAATATACAGTCATGCTATATTTGTGTGCCCTTGGGGTGTTTGCGTTGTACCTGTATGTAGTCTGCAATCACGTTCCAAAACAGATATTGGTTTGTTTAACATAAATAACTTGGCAAAATGCATGCTAAAAGGAATTTCCAATTAACATACTTGGAAAATTGCATAGTTTGAGGAATTACATACGATATGTAATTAATAAGTATGTGTTGGAATAAATGATTGTGTTCATTGATAGGAGTGATTCAATTCTCAATAGTCACTCGTATTCTCAAAGGATCCCCTAAACTCGATTTAAACTCAAGCAATAGATTCGAGCTTGTTTCAATTTCAGAGCAATCACAGGCTTTAATATAATTTTGTAGATTTACACTTAAAGGCCGGCCGTTTAATAATACGGCCCATAAAATCTCAAGAACTTTATGGTTAAGATATTAAGCCTATGCTACAATCCTAAAACAAACGTTTGTTTTTAGTTCTACCATTTCGCTTCTAATGCTGTTTTTGTTCGGTTATTAATAGCTGTTCTAATTAATTAATAAGTGAAAGTAAATTAAGCAGGCATTGTCCACTATTGTCCACCACATCATTTAACTGTCTTAAAAAAGCGAAAGCTGACACTTGTTCCGATCAATTAAGTAATAACATTACGGTTAATATACGAAACAGTTACGAACTTATAAACACATTCTTACTAATGATAATGAAAATGTTATAGTCACTAAAAGAAAGAATAACCGTAAAGTATTAGAACATAACAAAGCCGACAGAAATAGAATGCTTGCATAGGTTGTTATTCTGTCTGTCAGACGTCTTCGTTTAACATCGCACATGGGAAACGTTCCACGTGTTAAATGAGGACAGACTAGAAAAGTATTTATGTATAGGGACTCATGGAACTCCGTAATTGAATAGC